AAAATGGTAGTAACGATAGTACAGCAGATTATGAGAGAGTTTAATGGTGCTGTGTTAGAGAAATTGGCCATCACAAAAATTGTCCTAAATCTCATGGAGCAAAATGGCGACTAGAATTCACAGGCATGATTTTCTATACTGAGCCTGGACTGACAGTGGCCTTGTATAAATTGTATATATACATTTAATGACATGTAAATTGTGCCGGTCACGGTGGTTGAGCGGTGTAAGGCATATACTGTCTTCAGTCTCTCGGAAGCCGGGATCGTGGGTTCGAATGCCACTCATGGCATGGATGTTTGGTGTGGTTGTGCGTTTTTCTGTGTTTGTGTTGTACTGTATTTAGGTAGAGGTCTTTCGAAGAGCTGATCACCCGTCCAAGGAGTCCTACCGTCTGTAACCTGATCAAGAAACTGAGATATCAGCCCTATGCTCCAAAGTGGGAGCAAGGGGAGAAAAAAAATATAAATTGTATATGCTGACAACAGACTTATTACTGCTGACTGTGACTACTGGCAAACGGCAGACCCGTCCTCTCGTCTGAGAGAAATTAACAAACCTGCAAGTGTCTGGCATTAATAAAGGTCTGGTCGTAAGCCCCAGATGGGCGATTTATTCCAAGACAGACTGGCCGACTGACAGTCCAGTGACTTATGTTAGCTCTTTCTCAAAGACCGAACAGAGTAGGTGTCTCCCCTTCTCCTGAGGGCGGCAACAGATCCATTTTCCCTAACGTTGTGCTCTCTGTTTTCTAGAATAGCGGACGATGGACAAAAACCCAAACCCCAATAATTCTGAGTGTTATACAGCATCGTCAGAACCCTTTAAAATGTACTTATATAGATAGATAGATAGATTTTCTTTTGATAGATTTTTTATTTAACAATATGTAGTTAACAATGACAATAATTCTTACAACACAACATGTAAATAATGGTAAATAACATATATTAAAATGTGTACTGAATTTTACGTGCAGTTGATGTATACAGTAGTATTAGATCTGTTTGTTGAGTATAATTCAGCCCTCTTCAATTTTTCCAAGTATGTGTTTGTGTAGCCAGTACCTCTCGAACGCCTCGACGTCATCTTGCCATATGCTGTAGTGCATTTCTAGATTTAGTCAGAATTGCAGCCTTATACGGTACATGCGTTGGTAGTCTGGTGGTTTTTCGTGGGTGCTCTTCGTTGCTAGGTATGTCTTGTATACAGTGGTCTTGGCTAGGGCTATTAAGTAATTGGCAAGTTGTTGGGGTGGGGTATCTAGTTTGTGGTATCCATACAGGA